CTCTGGATGATATGTAGCTGTGTCTGCCGACCCCTCAGTGGGGGGTAAGAAGTGGAAAAATACTCATGGTGTAGTATGTCAAATATTTATTGATAAAAGTATTTAAAACCTAGGTCAGTAATGTCACTGGCAATGTGCCAGAGAACACATATACAAAATAAAGAAGTAAATTACTGACCCTTAAAAGTAAGCACCCAGACCTCCTCGTGGTCTGGGTGATGAAGAGGCGTCACAGGCTGTCAGTTCCTCCTGAGGCCTTTCGTGCTAAGGCACATCTTCAGAGGGGATGCTGACAGCTCTGTGACAGACGCCAAATGAATAAGTAGAGAGAATGCGGGATTCGCGCATGCGCAATAGATTGCCGCCATTTTCCGGAGGACCATACAACTGCGCATGCGCGCACATCGAAGCGCCATTTTGCCATAGATATATAGAACTGTCAGCAGTGGCATAACTAACCATGCTGACAGGACGCATATACAGCGCGATTGAGCCTAAAGCATATGGCTCAGAGTACCCAGGGAAGTAGAACAGCAAATTCTTATAGTGTCTATCCCAATAATATGGCAACGGTGCCTCATTGATTAGTTCACCATAGTTAAGGTGACACAATAAGGGGATGATGTGAATGAACCCATATTATGAAAAAAGCGCTCCGAGTGCCCAGGTTACAGACATTGACAATACTCCAAAACCTCATTACATGCAAGTAATTGACGGTCTGTCAGAGAACAAAGGAAATTAATAGTTCTCCACCGTTATTGGTCAGTATATTCGAATCTAGAGACGCCATTATCATGCCAAATTAAGGTGCATCTCTTAATTGATAATACTTCACCAATTTAAGGTAAAAGATAAATTGGCATTGATATATGGCAGATATAGATGGTCCAGGTGCAAAATAATTTGTATACCATTAAACATATTCAAATATATAAATATGAGTGACATACCATTTCCATATAAAAAGAAATAAATAAATAGCTTATAATTATAAATTGGTAAGTTGAATAGAATGGCTTACAATCAAATAAACTAAATTAAATAAGATAGCATAAAAATAGATAAAAAAAGATAGATAAAAAACTCAGCTAGGGATAATGTCTAAAGTATCTAATATCATACTCAATTTTTTGATTCTGTCTTTAGAGACACCAACTCATTACCAGGGATATAAATGTAGGTTGTGCAAGCAACACACCTCCAATTAATAAAAAGAGTATATATGTGCTACTATGTGGTGATTTATAATATTCACCACATATATTAAATATTGTAAAAAATGGCATAAATTCATCCTTGGCATATCTAAGGTGCTCAGGGTGCAATAATCACCGACCCGTGTATAGTATTACATTTCTATGAAATCAAAATTACCGCCAGCAGTATATAAAAAGGAATAATTCCTTAGGTGCTAGCTCTTAAAACTTAAATCAGGAGTATTTAAGATAATGGCATAGATACTAATATTAAAATTAAAATTAAAAATGGAATAGGATAACCTACAATAGAATAGAACAGCCTAAACGAATGAGTAGTTCATAATCGAAATATAGGACTAGTATTAGTCAGTCATGAAATAAACTCTGTACAACTCATAATTCCATAGACGAAAGGACGGAAGGTAATTCAACCATAAAGAGATGGTAAAATGGCAAAACATATTAGTGGATATATAAGATACTAATTATTTGCTATATAGCAATTAATGTCGATTTCAATATTATGCCCTTTAGAGTGTAGGGTATCAAGTTCATACACCCATTTTGTTTCCGCTTGTGATACGGCCCTGGTTTTATTCAGACCCCTCCAGTGTGGCGATATTGTCTCGATTCCCACAAATTTGAGGGAAGAGGGGTCGCAATTATGGAATAGCCTATAATGGTTCGAGAGTGAATGCTCTCTATAGCCCTTCCTTATATTGGCTACATGCTCTCGTAACCGGTCACAGAGACGTCTAATCGTACGTCCCACGTACTGCTTATGACACGGGCATTGAAGAAGATACACCACAAACCTACTATTACAAGAGATAAATTGGTTAATGGTGTATGTTTTCCTAGTAATAAAAGAGTCAAAGTTGTTAATCCTGCCCTTCCTTGTACTGTTGCATTTACAAATGACACACTTATTGCAGGGATAAAACCCTTTTAATTCCTCAAAAAATGTAGTACCAGTCGGAGGGTTTATTGCGTTAGGGGCTATCCGATGTCTAATTGCTGGCGCTTTTCGGTAGATGATCTCGGGTTTGTCTGGTAAAAATTTAGATAATATGGGATCTAGTTTCAATAGTTCCCAGTTCTTTTTAATAATCCCTCCAATCTGTCTGAATTGTGTAGAAAATGTTGTTATGAAAGGACAGACCCTTGTTTCTGTACGTCTTGGTCTGTTAGATAACATGGTATTCCTATCATGTTGGGCAACCATCTGTATTGTCTTATCCAGAGTATCTTCCTTATAGCCCTTTTCTAAGAACCTTTCTTTCAATATTAGTGCTTGGTTGAAATAAGTATTCAAATCTGTGCAATTTCGTCAAATGCGCATAAGTTGACCTTTAGGAACATTAGTTAACCAATTAGGATGATGACAGCTACTTGTGGGAATGTAGCTGTTCCTATCGGTGGTTTTAACAAACGATTTTGTTACAATTGTACCATTATAATTAATGAGTGTAAGGTCTAGAAAGTTTATTTCAGACTGACTATATAAAAATGTGAGATTGATGTTCAATCTATTATTATTAAGGCTGGTAAAGAAATTCATGAGTGATTCCTCATCCCCATTCCATAGGAGGATGATATCATCTATATACCTTTTGTACATAACCAATTCTGGCCAGTCTCTAGAATATATCATGTCTTCTTCCCAGCGGGACATGAAAAGGTTCGCCAGACTGGGGGCAAACTTTGCCCCCATCGCGACACCTTTAATTTGTAAATAGTAGGACCGGTTAAACCAAAAGTAATTATGGTCCATTGCAAAAGCTAGTAGCTCTAAAATAAAACATTTCTGTAATGGGGGTAGGTTGCCATAGTTCGTTAGGTAAAAATCAACCGCTTCCATCCCATCCGCATGATTAATGTTGGTGTAGAGTGAAGCTACATCAGCGGTAACTAGGTAAGTATTCGGTAATGTGTTCAAAGTGCTGCAGATATTCAGTACTTGTTTTGTATCCTGGAGATATGATGGGGTTTGTACAACCAATGGCTGAAGATAGTGGTCTACATATTCCCCTATTTTAGAGCTAAGGGATCCAATCCCACTAATGATTGGACGGCCTGGAGGGTGGACTGGGTCCTTATGTACTTTAGGCAAGATGTACAGTATGGGTAATTTAGGTGCTGTAGGGCAAAGGTATGCTTTCTCTTTCTTATTCAATATGTTTAAGTCATAACCTTTGTTAATAATCTTTTTTAATTCCTTCTTGTACCCTATTACTGGGTCGTATGGTAAAGGTCTATATGTAGTATTGTCACTCAAGATATTTTTCACCTCCGTAATGTATTGGACTTTACCAAGGATCACCACACCGCCCCCCTTGTCCGCTGGTCTAATGACAAGGTCCTTCCTTTCGAGTAAGGATTTAATTGCCACGTTATCACCTGTTCCCTTATATGAGTTCCTAATAGGGATACTACTCAGGTCTTTTAGGACCTTGTCTCTGAAGAGATTCACAAAGGAATGCGTCTGGGGTGGTGGGTTATAGGTGGATGCGTTTCGCAAATTTGAGTGTACGAAACCATTAGAACCACTAGGGGCAGCATTATTTATAATAGGATTACTATAAAAATACCGTTTTAAGGACAGCTGTCTAGCAAATTTATGCACATCGATATATGTGTCAAATTTGTTAAATTTTTTGGGGGGTGCATATTTCAGTCCTTTGTCAAGGAGGCGTAATTCATTGTCTGTTAAATGTATATTACTCAGGTTAAAGATTCCTTTGCCCACTATATTTTCCTCTTTTTTGGAGTATCTATTCGTCCTCCTTCCCCCTCTCTTTCCTCTTCTAAACCTCTCCTTTTTTTTGAGTTGCCCTCCTCTAAAAAAGGCTGTTTAGAATATTGAGGTTGGTGTGAGTTTTTGGGGGCAGAGTTTTGAGGATTTTTCCGGTAGCCCTGGTTGTTACCTTGATAGTTCGTTTGTTTCCTTTTTTGAGGAGGATAATTAAGGGGAGGATGTCTATTCCCTCCATTTCCTCTAGCTGAGTTATAATCGGGGTGATGGTATTGGTGAGAATGGTCAGAATTATTATATTGGGTTGGTTTCCAATTGCCATTTCTAGGAGGGGTATAGTAGTCAGAAGGGATTCTATCCCTTGTATCACTGTTATAGGCATTTGGATGCCTATACAGCTCTCTGGAGCCTATATTATCATCTCGCAGGGGCTGAGACCTGTTTGAATATTGTTCTTTATGAAATTTAGAGGATTTAGCCATCGGTTTTTTAAAACCCGTTTTTGAGGGAATAGGGGTTTTCTGCAAAACAGGTTCACTCTGTTTCTGCCAATCGAAAACCTCTTGATTAGAGTAGTCTTTAACCTCTTGCCGACCGCGCATAGCCGAATGACGGCTTCACCGCGGCCGGCCAGTTCTGAGTGGACGTCATATGACGTCCTCCCAGAACGCGCTCTCCTGCGCGCCCCAGGGGGCGCGCACCCGGCGATCTCCGTGATCGCTGTGTCCTACGGACACAGCTGATCACGTGATGTGGTGAAAGGCCGATCCCACCGGCCTTTTACCACGTGATCAGCGGTGTCCAATGACACGCTGATCACAGGGTAATGCAAGTGCCGGTTCTCGGCTGCACTTTCCTCACGCTGTCAGATCGTGAGGAAAGTACTGCCGAGAACCGGCAGTTGTCAGAGCGGGGATCGGCACCGATCATCAGGGCACTGATGATCAGTGCCCTGATGATCGGTGCCCAGCAGTGACACCCGCAAGTTCCGCCCAGCAGTGTGCCCACTAGCCCCGCCCACCCTTTCCCAGCAGTGCCCCCACCTGTGCCCAGCAGTGCCCCCACCTGTGCTCAGCAGTGCACCCACCTGTGCCACTCTGCAGTGCCACCTACCTGTGCCCAGAAGTGCCACCTACATGTGCCCAGCAGTGCCACCCACCTGTGCCCACCCACCTGTGCCCACCAGTGCCACCCACCTGTGCCCACCAGTGCCACCCACCTGTGCCCACCCACCAGTGCTGCCCACCAGTGCCACCCACCAGTGCAGCCCAGCAGTGCTGCCAGTCAGTGCCACCAGTCAGTGCCCAGGGGTTGCGCCAGTCAGTGCCGCCAGTCAGTGCCCAGAAGTGATGCCAGTCAGTGCCGTCTATCAGTGCCCATCATCAGTGTCACCTATCAGTGCCGCCTATCCGTGACCCCTAATTAGTGCTGTCTATCAGTGCCGCCTATCCGTGCCACCTCATTAGTACTGCCTATCAGTGCCCTTTAGTGCTGCCTATCAGTGCCCATCAGTGCCGCCTATCAGTGCCCATCAGTGCCGCCTCATCAACGCAAATCAGTGAAGGAGAAAAAATACCTGTTTGAAAAATTTTATAAAAGAAACAAATAAACTTTTTTTTTTTTTTCAAATTTTTTGCACTTTTTTTAATTTATAGCGCAAAAAGTAAAGCGCCCAGTGGCGATTAAATACCACCAAAAGAAAGCTCTATTTGTGAGAAAAAAAATGATCAAAATTTCATATGGGTACAATGTTGCATGACCGCGCAATTGTCAATCAAAGTGCGGCAGCGCTGAAAGCTGAAAATTGGCCTGGTAAGGAAGGGGGTATAAGTGCCTGGTAGGCAAGTGGTTAAGATCCCTCTGGAACTTTTTCTTTTTCTTTATTCTCTATTCCTAATTTTTGTACAGCCCTGTACTTGTACTTACTGAGAAGAGGAGTGTGACCCTTTGCCCCAGTGGCGTGCCTCTGTCTTTTGAGAGGGCTTGGATTAACATGTTGCCTTTCTCCCCTGGGCTTCCTGATGGCTTCCTTGCGCAGCTTGCAAGGGTGGTCTGACCGGTACCGCTGATGGCCTTTTATTCTCTTGGTCTTCCTGACCAAGACAGGAGGCACTCTTTAACCACTTTAAGTCTGCCTTATAGTATATTTGCTGCTACAGAGCAGACGTTCTGTGCAAAATGGATGAGCGCCAACACCCGTTGATCGCCGAGGAGACAGACAAAACACAGCTCTGCCTATGTAAACAAGGGAAAAAAATCTAGCAGATTGCCTGGTAAAAACAACACATAGTAAACACATAAACACTGGCTAGGCACACAATTAATCCTTTGATTGCCCTAGATGTTTAACCCCTTCTTTGCCAGTGTTATTAACCACTTGCTATCTTGAGGATTTACCCCCCTTCCTGACCAGGCCACTTTTTACGTTAAGGCGCTGTTACTTTAACTGACAATTGTGTGGTCATGCAACGCTGCACACAAATGAAATGTATGTCCTTTTTCTCCCACAAATAGAGGTTTCTTTTGGTGGTATTTGATTGCCTGTGCGTTTTTTTTATATTTTGCGTTATGAAAAAAAAGACCGTCAAGTTTGAGAAAAAAACATTATTTTTGACTTTTTACTATTATAGTCGAATGATGGCTACAGCACTGTTAACCAGGTCTGGGGGAGCGTCATATGACATCCTCCCAGAATGCACCCTCTTGCGCACCCCCATGGGCATGCACGCGCCGATCTCCACACAATTGCCTATGGACACAGCTGATCACTTGATGAGGTAAAAGGCCAATCACAGCGGCCTTTTACCATGGGATCAGCTGTGTCCAATGACAGCAGATCACGGAGTAAATACAGTTGCCAGTAATGGGTGAGGAAAGTACTGCTGATAACCGGCAGCTGTCACAGAGGAGATCGGCACTGATCATCAGGGCACTGATGATCAGTACTCTTGATGATCAGTGCCCTACAGTGCCGTTCACCATGCCTAGCAGTGCCACTCATCAATGCCACCCATCAGTGCCTCCAGTCAGTGCCATCAGTCAGTGCCGCCAGTCAAGGCCGCTCATCAGTGCTGCCTATCAGTGCAGCCTCATCAACGCACATGAGTGAAGAAGAAAAATTACCTGTTTGCAAAATTTTATAATAGTCCCAGTAGGCAAGTGGTTAAACACATTCAGTAAATAATCAGTTTAAAAATCAAATTTCATCATAAATTTAGGCCAAAATGTATTCTGCTGTATTTTGTATGTCTTTGCTAAAATCCCAATACGTGTCAATTAATTGGTTTACGTGAAAGTAATAGCGTTTAAAAATGGCGGTATATATACTGGGATTTTTTATTTTTACTAGTAATGGCGGCGATCAGCTACTTATAGTGGGACTGCGGCAGGAATTCTGACACTGGGGGGAACTGACTTGGTGTCACTGACATCCCCATTGACACCAATACAGTAATGACACTAGGCAGGAAGGGGTTATCATGTGGGGCGATCAAAGGGCTGTGTGATGTTTTACTAGGGGCTGTGTGTTTGTGCTTCACTGTAAGCAAACTGCTTTGCTATGCACAGCCATGCAAAGCAGTGTGCCTAAGCTGACAGGGAGGAGAACTGTCTTGTTTACAAACAGTACCCTCCCACATGATTTTGCACACCCCTGCTGCCCTGTAGCAGTATACCTGCTATAGGGCGGTGGGAATGCGCTAAATACGACAGTGTATATTTTTAGCACTGATCACTGTAATAGTGTCATTGGTTGCAACAAAGTGTCAGTGTCAGACTGTCTGCTGCAATATCGCAGTCCTGCTGTATGTTGCTGATCACTGCCATTACTAGTATAAAACAAAATTCCAGTATATGTACTGTCATTTGCAAACGCTATAACATTTCAGCAAACCAATCAATATAAGCTTATTGGGATTTCATTTACCAAAAATATGTAGCAGAATACATTTTGTTCTAAATTTATGAAGAATTTAATTTAATTTTTTTTTAATATTTTATTGGACATGTTTTATAGCAGAAAATGAAAAATATTGTTTTCTTTTTTTAAATGTTGGTGTTTTTTCATTTATAGCGCAAAAATAAAAACCCAGAGGTGATCAAATACCACCAAAAGAAAGCACTATTTTGGGGGGAGAAACAAATGACACAAATTTAATTTATGTACAGCATTGAATGACCATGCAATTGTCAGTAAAATTAATGCAGCGCTGTATCAAACAAAATGGGCTGTCATGAAGGGGGGGGGTAAACCTTCTGGAGGTGAAGTGTTTAAAAAAAAAAAAACCTATCCACATAATTAGTTCTTCTGCCAGTCAGAAGAGAAAAAGCAAGCCTCTGGAATGTGCATACATGTATACCGCCAACAGCATGTCCATGTACACACACTAGAATGACTGGGGGGGAGCCACAGCAAAAAAGAAGACCTATCTTTCTGAAGTCTGCTTCAGTGCTCTGGCTGGCGGTGAAGAGGAGCTCAAGATGCCACTAAAGAGAAACAAAGAGCCAAATTATAGAACATGAGTGGCAGACGGGCATGGAAACTTACAAGGGCAGTAGGAGACTTGAAGCCAAGAAGAGTGGAGATTGCAGCACTCTGTGTCAGCTCAGCCTAGCTGACAACACAGAGCTAGGGCAGAAGCTGCATTTAAATTTCCTGCCACTAGTGGGTCCTTGCGCCATAGAACACTTCCTGTTGGTTGCTTAGCAACAGGACGCTCTGACCGGCCACACCTCCCAAGGGGCTGACAAGACGATCAGCAGCCCAGCACTGAGTCTTTGGTGGTACTGCCCCCCCGGCCACACCACGAATGAAGCAGTAGGACAAGACGTCCCAGTGAGTGCATGCTGCTAAGATAAAAAAAAAAAAATAGATCATTCCAAAGGTAATCCTCCTTCTCCGCCAGCCTACATAAAGCAGCCCTTTATGCCGCTATCCTAACAGCCTGAACCACCAGGGCACCCACCATATAGGAGCCATGCACCTAGCACAGGGGGTCTTCCACCCAAGAGAGGCTGAAACTGGAAGGCATTTACTGTGTACGTTTGTCAGTGGTCTGGAGCGAAGACAAAAAAAAAAGAACACCTCAAGTGTATTATAGTCGACTTTTTAATTAATAGCATGGAGTTAAACAAATCTGAATTTATTTGCAGCACCTTTTCGACCAATAGGCTGTTTTCACACTGATCAGTTTTTGAAGTGCTTTGCATTTAAAAAAAAGCGCAAGAAAAGCTAAAAAAAAAAAATGCATCCCTTTAAATTCAAAGTATGTCTTCACACTGTTCCTTTTGCACTTCCCTTGCGGTGTTAAAAACCCTGCCTGTCGCATTTTTGGTGCATATTTGGCGAGTTAAAAAAACGCACCTCCCCATTGAGGCTTGGTTCACACCAGTGCTTTGTGCTTTTTGCAGGAATGCACTACAGTCCAGGTAAAATGGTTTCCTATAGGACACGTTCAACTCTATACTCTATTGAGCTGCTGCATTTTTTTAAAGGGTCAGGGACTTTTTTAAACACACAACGTTGCATTTTTGGTTCAATAGACTTCAATGGAGACACTGCAGAAAATGCATGTAGTGTGTTTTTGACACGTTTTTCATGTGTTTGATGTGTTTTTGATGCATTTTGCTTTTTTAATCTGCCCAGCAAGAAGTTGGGCAAAAAAAAAAAAAAAAAATCTAAAAATCAAAATGCATCAAAAAAATGTAAAATTCACTGTAAAACACAATGAAATGCAGCAAAAATGCATCCAAAATGCACGTGTTGCGTTATTGATGCGTTTTCTTGAGTTACATGACCTATGAAAAACGCACCCCAAACATGGTAAAATCGCACGTTTTGGGCGGCCATTAAAATGCCAATAACACCATTTTTGGCCAATACATTTTGTCTGCCGATATATCGGTGTGTTCCTAATATACTGTGTGTCACAGTGGATAGTCAGAGCTAGCGCTTCTACTTGTATTTCTATGCTAAGAACAGTGGCTAAATGGTTAGCACTTCTGCCTGACTGTATGAGGGTCATTGGTTCAAATCCCAGCCACGGCACCACCTGCCTGGAGTTTGCATGTTTCTCTCTGTGCCTGCTTGGGTTTCCTCCCATACTCCAAAGACATGCTGGTAGGTTAATTGGCTCTTGTCTAAATTGACCCTAATATGTGCATGTATGAATGTAAGTTGGGGACCTTAGATTGTATACCCCTTGAGGGTTAGGGACTAATATGAATGT